CACCATTATTTGCTGCATCTCTATTAGCTCTGTCTCTTATACACATCTAGATGTGTATAAGAGACAGAGTGAGGGGAGGGAGGGAGTGAGGGGAGTGAGGCGTGTGAAGGGAGTGGGAGAGCGAAGTGATTCGGGAAGTGAGAGGAGTGGCGAGAGTGGGGAGTGGGCAAGAGGGAAGGGGTGGAGGAGAAATAGAGGGTGAGTGAGGGGAGTGGAGGGTTGTGAGGATAGTGAGGAAAATGATGTGAGTGGGGGATGGTGAGGGTAGTGGGGGAGAGTGAGGGTTGTGGGGAGGTGGGGAGGGTAGTAGGGGATGGTGAGGGTAGTAGGGGAGAGTGAGGGTAACGGAGGAGAGTGAGGGAGTGGTGGTAGTGAGGGTAGTGGGGGAGAGTGAGGGTATATAGTGGGGAATGGTGAGGGTAGTGAAGGGGAGTAAGGGAGTGGAGGGGAGTGAGGGTAGTAGGTGAGAGTGAGGGAGCGGAGGGGAGTGAGGGTAGTAGGAGAAAGTGAGGGTGTTGTGGGGGATGGAGAGGGTAGTGGTGGTAGTGAGGGTAGTGGTGGTAGTGAGGGTAGTGGGGGAGAGTGAGGGTAGTGGGGAGGGGAGGATGGGTTGAATCGAGGGCAAGAGAGTATGGAGTAAAGAAGTCCGTGCTGTGAGGAAGAACCTGACGTGGCCTGCGACATGAAAGACAAGAAGAAAATCTGTCCGCTAGAAGCTCGCTAACATTTGCATGCCGTTTAACTGCTGGACCTTTTTCCATTCTAATTATAATGATCAAAAACACAATAAATAAATAGTTAATTTCAATGCATAATAAAAACGAAATAAGACAAAAATATAATAGATGAATTAAATAATTTGCGGATATTCAATAAGTCATGAAACAATTATGTTTTGAGGAGTCAGGTCACTGAGTGAGGTTGCCGGTATCAGTGAAATAATTTCCATCACAAATTATTGAATCCATGTTTTTATACAGAAAAGTTATAATAGCGACAATAAAACTCTAACGTAAACTGAAAAGAAATAGGAGCAAATTATCAAAAGAAAACTAACCGCATTTCAGGATATAAATTAAATTCAGCAAACCCAATAAATCTTTTGTCCGCAATTGGACTCCAATCGACATTCCCACACATTTTTATATTCTCTCTTGTTAAACAAATCGCGTCGGAAATTCTACAAAGCGGAAAAAGTGCAAAATGTGCGCCTGGACTCGAGGCTCGATCTTTTCGCAGTCGCGGAGTCCGGGCGAATTGGCCGCTACCGGGAATACGATTATTTTTAGCGCATTTTCTCATTCATGAAAAAAAGCACTATTGTGCTCGCCATGTCCGTCCGTCCGTCCGTCTGTCGGTCCGTCTGTCCGTGACTTCACGTTTTTGACGACGAGAAAATGCGCTCTCTGT